TATGGGAAAATATATTTGCCAATGATACCTCAGGTATGATCTCCAAAATATATAAAGAAGTCACTGGACTCCACTGCAGGAAGACAAATAACCCAATTCAAAACTGGGCAAAGGACCTGAACAGACACTTCTCCAAGGAGGACATACAGAGGACTCATAGACATATGAAAGGATGCTTAACATCACTAGCCATAAGAGAGATGTAAATTAAAACCACAATGAGATACCACTTCACTCCAGTCAGAGTGGCCATGATTAACAAATCAACAAACAACAAGTGCTGGTGAGGATGCAGAGAAAAGGGAACCCTTGTGCACTGCTGGTGGGAATGCAGACTGGTCTAGCCACTGTGGAAAGCAGTGTGGAATTTTCTCAAAAAATTAAAAATGAAACTGCTTTTTGACCCAGCAATTCCACTGCTGGGATTATACCCTAAGAATCCTGAAACACCAATTCAAAAGAACCCATGCACCCCAATGTTCATAGCAGCATTATTTACAACAGCCCAGTGCTAGAAACAGCCTAGGTGCCCACTTGTAAATGAATTGATCAAAAAACTGTGGAACATATACACAATGGAATACTACACAACAGAAAGAAAGAAGGAACTCCTACCCTTCGCAACAGCGTGGATGGAACTGGAGAGTATTATGCTAAGCAAATAAGCCAGGCAGCAAAAGACAAATACTGTATGATCTCACCTATGAGTGGAACCTAATCAACAAAACAAACAGGTGAACAAAACAGAACCAGAAACATGGAAATAAGGAACACACTGACAGTGACCAGAGGGAGAGGGGGAGGGGGATAACGGAGGAAAGAAGGGGAAGGGTCAAGTCAAGGAACATGTGTAATGGACCCATGGACAAAGCCAGTGGTGGGGAGGATGGAATGTGGGAGGCGGAGAGTGAGAGGGGCAGGGGAGAGTAATGGGGGGAAACGGGGACAACTGTAATTGAACGACAGTGTAAATAAATAAATAAGTACCTGGAGAAAATAGTTGCATGATTTACTAATGTTAATCATTTTTATTTAGACATTTTTGTCTAAATCATCCTTTCTAATAAGTTCTGTACATAAAATAAATTCTATACGAAGCAAAGCATGGGGCACAGGTGGTGTTACGTAACAGTTAAGCGCGCTGGCTGCAAATGCTGGTTCCACCACTGGCTGGTTGTGTGACCTTGGGTAAGTTACTCACTCCTCTGAGTCACAGTTTTTCCTTTTTTAATGTGAGGATGTTAATACAAATTCCCTGAGGTAATTGTGAGAATAAAATGAGATAGCACAGGGTCTGCCAAGTATTCGGTACTAGCTGAATTTTAATAGTACTTCTAAAGCGTGTATAAGGCAATTTTAACTTTTCAAAGCACTTTTCTACCTGCATTAATCTATTATAAAGCTGGTTCCTGGAGGTTAAGGGACTTAACTGAGACCACACAGCCAATTTGCAGCAGTGGCTGATCTCCTTCCCTTGGTGACAGGGGATTTAAATAATCCTGAATGTGTGTATATGAAGACAAGTCGTTAAATTGGCAGGAATAGGTAGCTCAATTTGACAAAAATGTCCCAAATTAATTCTGGATTTTTTTCTCTACAGTGATAAGTACTCATTTCTCTGTTACTTTTTGCTTGAGGGTATGGGAGAAGCAAGACTAATTTGGCCTGAAATAGAAACAGCAAAGAAGTTAGGATTTAAATACAGACTCTACAATGCCATAGCTCTTGCTCATAATCACGGTCCTTACTGGTAAGCTCTGTATCTGACCTCGTGATCAGTGTCTCAGCTGGCACTCTTCATCCAGGTGCTGTCCAGCTACCAATCAACAACCTGTAGGAGCACCCATTGTTTACCCTAGGTCGGTACGACAGGACCTTTCCAGGTGATAGTTTCCCAAAAGTCCCTTCTCTCTTGGTCACCCTCCCTCTGCCCAGCCCTCCCCCCAGGGTCTGGTCTTCCCTCTTCCAACACCTTTATGATCAAGGCCAGGGAGACCTTCTTCCCTGGCTCTGTGAAGGACAGTCACAGTGACATCACAGTCCTGTGTGGGACTGCGATTGAGCCTGTTTCCTCAGAGCATCTGGAAGCTGAAAAAGCCATACCAATTGTAGCATAGCGCTATGTAGTCAACAAGTCACTTATTAGGTGCTCTGTGCCAGGCATTGGGGATACAGCAGAGATAAGATAGACAAGATTCCTTCCCTCATGAATAATGATAATAAAGATGATAGCTAACATCTATGGAGCACTTACTATGTTCTAGGCATTGTGCTAAGCCTTTGTAAGAACCGTTTTTTTAATCCTCACACAAATCCCACTAGGTAGGTACTATTATTAATCTCATTTGAGAAGGAACCTGAGGCATGGAGTAGCTGAATAAGTTGTCTGAGGGTACACAGCTAACACGTGGTAGACCGAGCCTTGGACTCAGGCAGTTCACCTGCAGTCCCTACCTCTTTAACTACTAACTGCACCAAACCAAGGATTCATCCTAGTGGGGACAAATCCTGAAGAAGTATACAAATAGAATAGACATTTTCATTAGTGATAACTACATTCCATGGAGAAAATGAGATAAAATCAGGGTGATGCTGAAAAAGGACAACCAGGGGTATGTATGGTATCCTGGACAGGAATGCACACTAAGTTGCCAAAGACCCTCCTCCCCCATGGCACAGAGTTTACAGAGGTCTGGGCAGGTGCACTTCTGTGTGTGCTCAGCACTCAGCCTGGTTCAAAGCAGGCATGAACTGTTAGGAATGGGAAGGGAGGAGGGGAAGCAGGAAGAGAGGGAGAGAGGGATCCCTGACAGGTGCCTCCACACACACACCTGCCAGTGTTTGGTCAGCTGCGCTGACTTTGAACGAACCCTAGAAGGGGGTCAGGTAGACCGTGGGAGGGATCCTTCACTACTCACCAGCTGCCCAACCTTGAATAAAGTCACTCTCCGATTCTGCGTTTTCTTTCTTGGAGGAACGAATTGGGAAGGGAGGGCAGAAAGCAGTACATCACGTGCTGGGCTCTGGAGCAAGCCCTGTCTCACACTGGGCACAGATGCTATCCTCACTTTACATAGGAGCAATCTCAGAAGGGAGCCCCAAATCTCACTAGAAACCCAGTGTCCCGGTGGCAGAAGTAAATAAGTGAAAGACCACCCTGTAGGGGCAGCTCAGGAATTTGTGGGGGGTTCTTGGTTGTCACAAGGGAGATGGAGCAGAACAGTCGTCGCACACAGAATTGTATTCTGCACACACAGAATTGTCCCACCTCCTGCACAATGTTTTACTGTACTGCTAGACATTCATGAAGCTTAAAAGAATTTTATTTACAATGACTGACCTGAGCCTAGAAGCTATTCCATCCAATGTCATGATAGAAGGAATTATTTACTATGGCACTGAGTGATAAAGTCCACCACTTTGCAAGAACACCTATTTCCTAATTTCTCCACCTTAATTTGTCTGGGTGTGTTATCTTTGTTCAAATTAAGGTTATTTTCTTCTTTCTCTTATCACCTGGTCTGTTTTTATTATCCCAACTCTGTTTTTATTCAAGTGTCCTCTTATCTTCACTTTCATTTCCTGGGTGTTAAAGAACTCACATCACCCAGATCTGGAAAACAAAAGCTAAATTTAATTCTGGCTCAGGCCAGGGAGAAATGCAAGCAGAAGTGTTTCTTCGTTAAACAGAGGACAAGACTGGGTTATTACAGAGCTTGGTGGAAACATGGAGTTTAGGTACTCTTGAGTTGAAATAGTGTTCCAATAAGCTCACAGCCACGTGGGAAGTGTGAGCAAAAAATTAATACCTGTCCTGGGCTGAGAAGATCCTGTTGTTCTGGAAACCACAGAGTTAAAATTGATTAACTGGTTAATTAATTTTTAAAAAACCTCCTTCCCCGCCCCGGATGGGGGTCTCTGCTAAAGCAAGAGTGGGCAACTGAGGGTACAGCCTCTCTGGGGCAACTCAACCCACACAGACCCTTCAGGCAAGAGTGGACAATTCTACTTTCACGCCTTTTGTATCTGAACCCCCTCCTTTAATTCATATTAAATCAGTATAAACATCTGCTTGCCTCATGATGTCTTCTACTTCGGTATATCCATATTTTGAAATACACAGTATTTTATGATAAAAGCAATTTCCTTTGACATCTCCTTTACATCACAGTGAGGCATTACACTGAATTGTTTGGAAAGCGTGTGAGTAATTCTCACATGGTGCGGTGTACACCGTGCCAGTCCCTGTCACAAGTGCCTTCCATGTATTATCTCATTTGATCCTCTCACCAACCCTATGAGGTAACTTCAGTTATTATCATCCTCATTTTACTTAAGAGAAAACCAAGGCACAGAGAGGTAAAGTGATTTGTCTGGGGTCACACAGGAAGTGGTGGATTCGGGATTTGAGATCCACACTCTTAACCACTCTGCTGGCCTCCATCTCAGGCAAAAAAAATAAATTACCTAGGGACCCCCAGTTCAGGATAGTAAAGGGGCTTTCCAATATATTTCTTGAAAAAAGTAGTGTTGGATGTGAATGGGGGGGGGGAACCACTGACCTAGCACTTAATATATTGATATCCTTTCCCCATACTCTTCATTCCACATTCTGCCACCATGGTCCTGAATCTGAGCCACAGCTGGGGTGGGAGTAAGGGTCAGTTGTGTGACCATGACCCCACTCCCAGAACGGACATGTGGCAGAGGGCAGGAGGTGGACAGGAAGGAGTGGGCCAAGTGAGGCCCTCATGCCCCTGCTGGCCATGCTCCCAAGGACTGTTTATGCCCAGACCTTGCCGGTTTCCTTCTCCTCCCTGGGGGGCAGGGAATCTCCTCAGTGGAAAACACCCAGCTGGGCGAGCCCCAGTGAGAAGGAGGAGGCCAGCGGGGCTGGAACTCACGAGACTAACTCTTTCCCCTCTCGTGACTGGTGTTTGCTGGGCTGGATTCTGGGAAAGGGCCAGATTGCATCAGACAGGGCCTGATGGGCTGGAGCCAGACTGCAGGCTGAGGAAGAGACGTGGCCTTATAAATCGGATCCAGTAAGTTGGGAGGCGTCAGGAAACCAGACACAAACAAAGACCTAGAAGGCAAGAGAGAGAGAGAGAGAGAGAGAGAACGCCAGACGTGATGTCCACCTTCCCCAGAGCAGCCAGCCCATCCTGGCAGCCCTCAGGGCCACAGGACGAAGACCCCAACCTGGATGAGTATGACCTCTACAGCCTGGCTCATTCTTTCCTGGGTAAGACCTGGCCCTGACACCTTCCTAGTCTTTCCACTATTGATCCCCACCCTAAAACTAGTATCCTCTCTTTGGATTCCTCCTCACCCCTCACCCTTCCCAACCTGTCCCCTTGACCCCTCATCCACTGAGCACTGTCCTGCTCAGCCCTGGGGACGCGCATGTGCCTAGGGTGTTGGAGCAACAGTGGATCATGTGGGGAGCCCTCATTCCTCAGATGGGGAAATAGGGACTACGACTGCCCCAAAACTATGTGCTGATAACCTCCAGCCTCCCTACTCCAACCCCAGCTCTTGCCACTGCTGCCCATACTCCCAACACTGCCTCCCCTTTGAGGCTTCTCATCATGCCTCCAGCCACCTCACCTGGGCTCTTGCCTCGGTCCCCAGGAGTGGGAGGCCGGAAAGGTCGCACCAAGAGAGAAGCTGCTGCCAACACCAACCGCTCCAGCCCTGGTGGGCACGAGAGGAAGCTGGTGACCAAACTCCAGAATACGGAGCGGAAAAAGCGAGAAGCACGGCCCTGAGACAGAGCTGGAGGTAAGGAGTCAGCGGAGGCCCCTCTGCCTTGAGAGGACAGGACTGAATGTGTGTGGTTGGGTGGGGAGGAGGGATTAAAGAACTGATATCTCAACATAGAATAAAAGGAGACGTATGTTTGACTGTAAGTTTCCTAGTGACCAGAGAAAGGGGGGAAATATAGACACTTTCCTACTGTAGGGAAATCTGGTGTACAGAGGGGGAAACTGAGGCCCAAAGAGGGTAGGGTCTTTCTCTGGAGTCAAAGAACAATTGAGTAGGAAAGGCAGAATTACCCAGGCCTCCATCCCTTTCACCAACTGCTTTCCTCCCCCAGATGAAGCCAGAGCATACACACCTCACAGCAATGGCGACAGGACCACAGAGGACTCAGCACCTGGAGCAGGATCCAGGCCTACCTGCCCCCCACCCCATCCCAAGGACTTACCCCACTGGACTGAGGCTCTGAGGGGCTACTGAGGAAGCACCCCCAGCCCGAGAGAAAGGCAAGATAGGGAGAAAGAGGCAGGGAATGAAGGTACCCCAAAAAGAAAGATGCTGAAGAAACCAGAGCTCCCTGGGGTGGCAGTGACAATAAAGTACAGCAGAAGCAGCTGTGTGCATTTTTGTCTTCTCTGTAGTTTTGTTTGTGAGCCGTCCTGCATGTGTCTGCATGTGCTAGAACCAATAAGCACCTTTTGTTAGTGTTTGTATTTGGTTATGTCCCTGGGAGGGGGTGTTTCGGACTTTGTAGGGGCCTGTAGAGGTGAGTGTGCATTTGCTTTGGTTTGGTCTGGGTATGCGTGTGTTTTGGTGCATGTTTTGGTGGTCTCTCCTGGGGTGCGGGGGCATTGCTCTGCTTCTTTTGAATGTTGCTCATGAAACAAACCCCCTTCCCAGCTCCTTTTCATGCTCGGAATAACAATCTTGTTGACTGTTTTGTATTCAGATAAAACCACCTTTAAAAAAAAAAATTATGTATTTACTTAGAGGGAGGGGAAGGGAGGAAGAAAGAAAGGGAGAGAAGCATCGACGTGCAAAAGAAACCGATCAGTTGCCTCTTGCATGCCCCCAACCAGGGACCAGGCCTGCAACCCAGGCATGTGCTCTGATGGGGAATCGAACAGGCAACCTTTCACTTTGCAGTACAATGCCCAACCAACTGAGCCATGCCAGCTAGGGCAAAACCACCTTTTTTAGAAAATGTTATTTAATTAGTGCCATCTGCAAAATGGAGCAAACTGAGACTAACCCCAAGTTCCTCAGGGCTCAAATTCAAGGATTCTTATGGTCCTCGAGTGAGGTGGGCCCCTTTGCTCAGGGGGCTGCCAGGATAGGGTTCTGGGAGGTTAGCTGGGGAAGGAAGATTCTTACCTGGTGTTATCAGTCTCAGAACCAGGGTTTTAGAGGAACGTGGAGCAAATAAGGAGTGATTGGAGCTAAGAGGATATATTGCCTGAGATACAACTTTGGGATAGAAAGTTATCTCTTTGTCGCGTAACAGCTCAAGGGCAAGTACTGCTGGACTAAAATGGCCCCTCCACCGAGTCAAGGATTCCAGCTCCTTTAGCTCATAGTTCTGCCACCCTCAAAACACGGTTTCCACTTGGAGGCCCAAGCTAGTTGCTCTGGTGCCAGCCTGTGGAAAGAGCAAGGATGGGACCGGGGAAGCCACACCAATTCATTTTTAAGGCTATAACCTAAAAGTAGAACACATCACATCTGCGCAGAATTTAGTTACATGGCCACACCCAAATACAAGAGAGGTTTGGAAAATCTAATTTTAGCTACTTAGCCACGTGTTAGGGAAACTCAGCAAGGGCAGGGTTTTATTATGAAAGGAAGCAGGAGAGAGACAATGAATACTGGATAAAACTAGCAAGAAACATTTTATACAGACAGACTCAACATCTGTGGGGGGAGAAAACCCCTAGGCCTAACCCTGGGCAGAGGCTATTCCTCTTCTCCTGCCTCTCCCAGGTCAGCCGTAGGCTACAGAACCGGGGAACTAATGGTTCTGAGGGACCCAAGAATACAGACAGAGGAAAAAGGCATCTGTTGGAGCGGTAACAGATGCACAGCCAACAAAGGCTGCCTTGAACCTCTGGAATCTCTGTCCATGGGCCCCCACTGAGTCCAGCCTAAGTACAGTCCCAGAGGCTCTGACTGAGCACATTACAAGGCTCCTAGCTCAACCCCAGCTGTTGCTACTGGAGTCACCTGTTTGCTTACATATCACTAGAACTTGCTGCCTTGGAGTTGCCTGATTCCTTCTCAGAGCAACTGAAACCTGACTCTCCCACCAGCCCCAGAACAAGTTTCTGTTTTTCTGGTCCTTTCTGTCTGATGGCTTTAATCCGGCCCATCCCAAAAGGCTCAGCTCAAATGCCTCCTCTTCAGTCTTCCCTGACTTGCCCTCCACCACCCACCTCATCTCCTCACTTCCACCCCAGCCGGTTGCCTTTTCTGGATCGCATGAGCTCAAGCCTGTGCCCAGAATCTCACGTCATTTGGCATTCAGCTCCTTCAGGATTCCCCTCAAACCCCTTTTTCTGTAAGTTATTTATTCATTCAATTAATGTTTATCAGATGCCTACTGTATTACCAGAGCCTGGTTGAAGGCATGCACTGCACAGAGACAAATGGGAGCCTGGTATGATTGGAACCAGATCTTAGGGTCACTTGTCAGCTCTTGGACTCAGGAGGCAAATGGCAGGAAAGCACCAGACAGTGAGCTCTCAGCCCAGCACAGGTCTGGTATGTCAGCTTCAAAAATCATAGCAACAGCATCCATGTAATGGGCTATTGCTTGTGATAGGTGTTTTATAGGCATTGTTTCATTTAATCTTTACAATAACCCAATAGGTGTACTATTTATTACTCATCCCATTTTATAGACCAGAAAACTGAAGTTCAGATAAGTCAAGCAACTTGCCCAAAGTCACATGGCCAAAACCTGCAGAAGCTAGAATTTTGAATTCAGGTCTCTCTGATTTTTTACTCCTGGGCTTTTCTCCTTATACTACATGCCTGAAAAGAACCATGAATACTGACAATGAGGAAAACTAGAAGCTAGTTAATTTCTGCTTAATGACTCCTTCTGAGCCTCAGTTTCCTCCCCTGTCAAATGGGGAGACTACCTTTTCCTCTGTCTACTTCAAAGGAGAAAACAGGCTGGGAAGTGCTCTGTCCCTGCTGACTGTGGCCACACCCTGGATACTGGGTTCTCTGGCACCTTCCAGAAGGCCCACATGCTACCCCTTGCCTCCGGCCTCTGATTGGCCTTCCCTGGCCTTCCCTTTCCTTGGCACAGCCTATGCCTAGGAGGCCACTAAATGGGTGTTTCAGGAACAAGGCAGTTCTTGGAATTAGAGAATGTCTGGTCTAAAAGGCCCAGCGGCTAGAGTACCACTGTTTCAAGGCATTGGAGGGGCCGTGGATCAGGGGTCAAGGACTGGCTTACACTCGCATGAGGTCTAGGGTCTCAGTAGGACAAGAACCCACTCTTGACTCTACCCATCCAGATCCTCCCTCTTCTGCTCCACTCCCTCTTTTTCTACACCCTTTCTTTTTCATTTCCTGGTTAAATATATCTGTTTCCCCAATTTCTTGGGTTCCTCCTGAGAATGAGAGAGATGACTGACTTTTCTTCCCCCTCAGGGGCTTCCGGAAATTTTCCGCTCAGGTTGCCACAATTCATTCAAAGGATTCCCAGCTCCTTGCAGAGAACAGGGAAACTTACTACAGAGCTTTTTATTTGCTTCACAAACACCCTGGTCCTCTTCTGCCCACTCCTTTCTCAAAGGCAGCTCTCAGATGTCTATTTTTAAAATATCAGAATCACACAAAGTTGATTTTCAGCCATCAATCCTTATAGATGTATTATTCATGGTAATAATCACGGCTACCATTACTAATGATCTGCCGCAGGGTTTTCCCAGCTTCATCTTTCACACAACACTTTTGTGGTTTCTGCCCTATGTCATTCGAGCTGTACCATTATTTATTTAGAAATCTAAAAATTACCTCTACCTCCTTACCTTTCGTACTCACATGTGTTTAAAAAGGAAACTGCCTTACCACCAAAAATGGAAACCAACACTTGTCACAGTTAGAAGATAACTATAAAAAGAAATGCCTAACTAGAACATTTTTAAAGTATATTTTATTGACTATGCTATAACAGTTGTCCCAATTTTTTCTCCTTTCCCCCTACCCCGCCTGGTACCTCCATTCCCTCCAACAATCCCCCCATTTAGTTCATATCCATTTGTTGTGCATGTAAGTTTTTGGCTTCACATCTCCTATACTATTCTTAACATCCTTCTGTCTATTTTGTACCTATCAATTATGCTTCTTAATCCCTGTACCTTTTTCTCATTCTCCCCTTCCCCCTCCCAACTGATAACCCTCTAAGTGATCTCCATATCTATGATTCTGTTCCTGTTCTGGTTTTTTGCTTGGTTGTTTTTTTAGATTCAGTTGTTGATAGTTGCAAATTTGTTGCCACTTTAATGTTCATAGTTTTGTCCTTCTCATCCTTAAATAAGTCCCTTTAACATTTCATGTAATATGGGCTTGGTGACGATGAACTCCTATAGCTTTACCTTGTCTGGGAAGCTCTTTATCTGCCCTTCAGTTCTAATGATAGCTTTGCTGGACAGAGTAGTCTAGGTTGTAGGTCCTTGCTTTTCATCACTTTGAATACTTCTTGCCAGTCCCTTCTAGCCTGCAAAATTTCTTTTGAGAAATCAGCTGAAAGTCTTGTGGGAACTCCTTTGTAGGTACTTGTCTGCTTTTCTCTTGCTGCTTTTAGGATTCTCTCTTTATCTTTAACCTTTGGCATTTTAATTATGATGTGTCTTGGTGTGTTCCTCTTTGGGTCCAATTTATTTGGGACTTTCTGTGCTTCCTGGGCTTGTATATCTATTTCCTTCACCAAATTAGGAGAGTTATCCTTCATCATTTTTTTCAAATGTGTTTCCAATTTCTTGCTCTTCCTCTTCTCCCTCTGGCATTCCTATGCCAGATGTTGGTATCTTTGGAGATGTCCCAGAGGCTTCTTGTACTATGCTTATTTATTTATTTTTTTTAGTTCTTTTTTCTTCTTGCTGCTCTGATTAAATGCTTTTCTCCTTCCTTATGTTCTAAACTGCTGATTTGAATGTCAGTTTCATCCCCTCCACTGTTGGTTCCCTGCGGATTTTCTTTATTTCACTTAGTGTAACCTTCATTTCTGCCTGGGTCTTTTGTTATGCTGTTGCCGTACTGAATGAATTCTTTGAGCATCCTGATAACCAGTGTTTTGAACTCTGATAGGTTGGTTATCTCCATTTGTTTAATTTTTTTTTTCAGGAATTTTGTTCTGTTCTTTCATTTGGGCCGTATTTCTTTGTCTCCTCAATTTGGCATCCTATTGTAGAAAAGGCACCTGTGTATTATGTGGGGCAGAGCCTTAGGTGATTGCTGGGGGGTAACCCATTTCACTTTTTTGTGGCTCTGTGTGTGGGGAGGTCTTGGAGAGGGGACAATGCCACTGCTTGGCTTCTGGAAGTTTGTCCAGGAGGAAGCTGTCTCCCAACACTCACCCTGTTTCCAGTCTCTTCACTTTCA